ATGCAGACTTTGACAATGTATTCTGAGAGATATTATTCTATTGCACTTGTATTACAATTATTCTTAAAGCACACGTCACATATATATATATGTCATTAATGTCAAAAGCGCGTTATTAAAATGGTAAAAGCAAGGCAGTAGGCAAAAATCAGCACATGAATTACAATTAAATCGCAATTCTGGTTTAATACACACAAGTTATTCCGATAACGCGAATAGTAAATGATAATAGAAAAATGATTTTATTTACGTTAAACGGCACATATACCGCGGAAATAATTGCACATATACTGTCAAGAAAATAGAAATAGAAATTTATTACATAATTCAATAAGAAATTCAAATCCTTTTTTAAAATCCAAGAAAAATACTTGTCTTGTATGCAAAATATTATTCCTGCAATCTTCAAAAATTTTAAGTCAAAATTGTAAAAAATTATTATTTTAATATATACAACTATAAACACATAATGTTGAGAAATCTTTATTTTATTTAGAATTAAGCATCGTCGTTAGAATTTTCGACGAAAAAAAATTTGTTATGAAGATAAAATTAATAAGATTTTTATGATTATTGTGTCTATTGTGTTATGTGAATATTGTGTCTGTTTGTGTATAATTTACAACTTGTAGGTAAAAGTTGTAAATTAAACCACATTAAAGATAACGGGCATTCTATTTTTCTCAATTATTTAATCAAATTTAATTCTTTATATAGGGGAGACTGGGGCTCGTTGGCACTGTTTTCACAATTTCGGCATTTGAGTTTTTATGCAACTAATTATCATGATTAAACAGTACTAATATAATAGAGAGAACATTTCTCTACATTTTCATGCCAGGAACGCTCCTGTATACTGTATAGTTTCTTTGTAATAAGTGAAATACGAACATGCTGCATTGTAGCCCCCATAGTAGGGTAAGTTGGCTATGCGACAAAAGTTCATGTTAAATTAATGAAAACGTAATAGAAACACAAAACGGGTAACAGATACGTACTTCTTGATAAAGATTGTATCTTTTAAAGTTATTTTGTAATGATCGAATAACAAAATCCTATTGCAGAAAAACAATTGTAAACTATTTTAAATGTAGCTTTATTTTTCATCATAAAAATATTAATATAAATATATATCTAGCTTCTATCAGCATTGTAGGTAGCAAATCACATGCTCAAACAGGTCTCACGCGCGCGGCAACAACAAGTCAAGCTAAGCGTGTCAACATACCTCATCCCTACATACGTTTTATTTCAGTCATTTTATTATTACAATAAATTACTGTTGTTAGTCAAAATAACATGTCGTATAGTAACAGAAACTTTTCTTTTAACTAATGATACGTCACTTTGATTTACTTCTCAAGCTGAAGAACATTAGTACGATATTTTGAAACGCTTTAAAATTTACTTGCCACCTCTTGAATCAGAGTTTTCTTTTTTTCTGTTGTAGTACTTGTTTGATTAAAATAAAACTTTGGGAAAAGTACCTATGTCATATAAGAAATATTTTGTGATAACTTTTCCATTGTTTTTTTCGCTATAATAAATACATAAACGGAACGCATTGCCAACTTGCTTCTTGTACCAACAAACCCCGGTCTGCCCTATATGTTTTATATATTTTAAAGGTCGATTGAAAGAAGAGCGAAATTTATTCAACTTTTTTTACAATAAAAAGGAGTAACATATTCTTTTTAGCATTTCGATATTCCTTATATTCTTATCCGTAATAATAAAGTTTCCAAAAATCTCCCTAAGGTTGTACGAATATTTATTTATATAATATACCTATTATCTATTACCTTTACTATATGTTATAAATTATAATCTTTTCTTTCTCGTCTCACTTTTTTCAAAAATAATGTTGAGGAATAGAGATTGCGAAGAAATATATCGAAAAATCTCTTTTGAATTCGTAGATTAAGAGATAATTAAAATGTAAATCTGGTTTTTGACACGAGCACAAGTTTTATCTCAAAAATACAAAATACTTGTAAATTAAATTATACTTTTGTTTATTAATAATAAAGGACAACTAAAAGTATTTCACTTTATACTAAATAGGAGTGATATACGGAGTAATTTATCCACGCGTACAATCTAAGAAAAAAAGTTTATACAATCTTTTGCTTCTAACCGTCATAGTTCAATGTGGTGACATATACATATACAAGGTGCCCCACAATCACCGTGCAATATTTAATAATATTTTCATATTTAATGGAAATTGATTAAAATAAAAAATCGTAATGTAAAACGTAGAAACAAAAACACAATAAATAAATGGATAAATAATTAACTATAGATTTTCGAAAATAAAATTGACAAATAACAAGAAAAAGATGAGCTTTGAGCGTCAAATGCGTTTAATTCTATGCGAGTTAATGTTATTCTTCAATTACTAACACGATATTAATACAATATGTTAATACAACATACAAGTTATAATTCTGACGTTTCGGCTTTGCTTTAAGCCATTTTTAAAATTATCTTACTTTTCTATATTTTTACCATGGCTTATTCAGTTTGTCATTTTCATATTTTCTGGGCTGGTTTGAGTTAATCAGCTTTGCTTTTCTTTGTCGGTTAGGTCCAACTTTTATTTTTGTTTTCAATTGTATTACACTGTTGGAAAATTTTTGTAGTTTTGTTAAAAAAAAAGTCCTTGTTAAAATTTTTGTGTAAAATAAGCAACACATACATGTGTAGATTTAACATATGCCTGCTATGTTAATTAAACTCAACAAATTAAAAATGTAAAATTATTAAAATAATTTAAAAAATATGTTAAAATAACACAATTTGAACGTACGTATTTATTAAATGTGTTAAAATTTACAGAAAAAGAGTGTTGATTTTACTCTATAACAGAAGTGGGAATAAAAATTTACAGAAAAAGAGTGTTGATTTTATCTTACAATCTTAACTTTGACATAAAAGTTATGTTAATTGTATACACATAATTAATCTCAAATTACGATCAGAATTACATTTCCTTTCTGTTGAAATATTTTAACATAGTATCGGTGTTACTATTTAACACATCCATATTATGTTAAATTAACACGAAAATTTGAGTAGACCGTTTGGGACATGTGATTTATGTTATATTTAACACAAATTTTCCAACAGTGTACTATAAACATAATAAAATTTCACTTGTATTTCCTCGTGAAAATTGTTGTCTTTGGATCATTCAATCTTGAAGTGCTTATCTATTCTCATCGGAGAGTGTAAAATTATTTAATTTACCTGTTATCGTGTTTCGTTCAAGATAATTCAAAGCAGAGTCAAAACGTCCGAATTATAGTTATATAGATATCATATATTAATCATTAAATTACATAATGTTAACCAATGCGCAGTTAACTGTGTTTAACTCTAAAGCAAAGCAAAGCTGTAGCTTTGTCGGCAACTTTGTCGCTGTCGCTATTGCTATCGCTATCGCCTATTGTGCAAGGGGCTTTAAATTCCCCTTTTTCTTGTTACTTGAAGATATAATAGTTTTGAAGTTATAATGATCAAAATTGGCCGATAGGTAATATTGTGTGCAATTCACGCGCTGAAGTCTATAAATTACAATTAACAGAGAGACTGCCGTCTAAATTTTACCACCGCACGGCTCTGACATGACACAAACATCTAACGAAATTCGGCGTAGTTAGGGCATTATGCCTGACGAATATATTTGTGAGAGATCGCTTGAAAAGGACCGGATCCACGGTCGAAACGTAGCGTTGTAATCAATAAAATTTGGCCAGTTGGGTCGCTCGCAATATCTCTGTTAATTGTAATTATTCACTGGCGACTCAAATTCTCTAATTCTATAAATTACACTTATTCCAATTTATCACCCGTTATTAATATGTTTATAGTTCAATTGATATTGATTTCTACAGCTTTTTATTTCCCATTTTGTTTCCTAATTACTTACATATGTATATGTAGGTACTACGTAGGTGTAACAAATAAACAGATAAGAAATTAGGAAACAAAATCAGCTGTACAATAAAAATTAATGTCAGTTGAATGAGGTATAACAAATAATAAGTCCCGAGCCCGCGAATTGCACGCGATGTCATTAGACAATCTTGATCGCTTATAACTCTAAAGCCGGTTCTACAATACGTCGCAAACGATGGCAACTGTTAGTTGAAAAGTGTTTTTTCCACGTTGTGCTTGTCAATTGCGGTTGTCAAAAGAGAGTTGGTGAACTTTTAACTTTTTTGGCGACACTGGCGACAGTAATCATACTTATTTCAATACAGAACCGATTATTATCGAAAAAACATTAAAATTAAAGATATTAAAATTTCGACCTGTTAATATACTTTAAGATATGTGCAACAATGAATAATATTAAATAGAAAACAAAAATAATATAGGATGTAATTTACACCCTACGCGCTCTTTTAGATCTCAAATTTTCACGCGCCCACTGGGAGGTTAATTGATTGCTATATTAATTGCTACTTAGCCGCTCATTAAATGCACCAAAAGTATATTATATAGTATAATCATATACGGTGGTTGTGGGACACCTTATACATATATATATGAATGTGCTAAAGTGATATTATCCCCTCGTGTAAAACAACTCTGGTCGATTGAGATAGACGATGGTCTCGATGATATGTTAGGTATCATGCAAGCAACACGTACGTTGCTGCCCTTTCAACGATATCGCGCTTGGTCGAATTGATTCTACTTGCAACACGCATCACGTTGGAGCTGAACGTTTCCTGGTAACGAATTATTAATAACCGGTACTCGCAACGCGAGCTGTTGTAAGTCAATTGCTGACCACGGTGCTGCAACGAGAAACGTATCACGTCGCGCGCATCGCATCGCGCTGTATCGCGTTGCATCGCGTCGGATCGCATCGCGTCGGATCGCATCGCGGCGATGTGCCCCGCGCGGTATCTTGAAAACGGCGACCTTCGTGCACCCGAGATTGCACGCGCGAGGACATTTTTGCGACGCTCTTCTTGACGCCCCGCGAACGGAGACGGAGCAGCGAAAGAAAGAGGAGCAAAGGGGAAAAAGAAGAAGGAGAGGGAGCACGCGCTTTGATCCCAAACAATATCGATACGCGTATGGATCACTAGTGCGCTCAAAAAAAGAAACGCCAGTAACAGACGCAACTCCATTTTATATGCATACTCGTTATTCGCATGTATGTAAATAGATATAGAGTCGATGTGACTTAGGGAAACTCCAACAACATAACTTTCGTTATAGCGTGGAACATCATAGACTTCTTTTTACATGAATATTCCTCCATAGATACGATAATTATATCACGAATAACAGATTGTATTTTGTAACAATCATACATCGTTGAAAACATTATAAGCATTATGATATCATTGGAATAACTATTTTGAGTATTATTTATTGAAGCAAAGCCTGAAATAAATTGCTGCAGTTGACAGCATTGCATTTTTTTGCATTTTCAGTTCTTTTTAATGCTTTTTAAAGATACAGTGCCAGACTAGAGTCAAGCTCAACAGGGTCTTCTTTCCCCGCTAATTTTTCCAAGCCCGTTCCCTTTAATAACATCCATTTGAAGAAGTTACTATTATGTATTTAATTTATTATTTAAAAAATGTAAAATGTATTAATTTCTCTTTAATATGTTAATAAAAGTTTAAAAATGCGCATCATAACTGTTAGTTTCCAAAAAAACCAGTAATGTTATTATTGAATTGTATAGTAGATAATTTAATTAGTTGAAAATAATTTTGAATTATTGATTAAAAGCAATTAGTATATACCTACTTATATTTGATTCACAGAGAGAGACAGAGAGAGAGAGAGAGAGAGAGAGAGCGAGAGAGAGGGAGATTCGGTATCTCTAGAACCATATTTTATATACATTTATATTTCTTAAACATTTATATAATTTTATTCACATATATTTATAATTATATATAAATATATTATTTAAACATATATATATCTATAACAAATACATTTATAAATATAAATAATATAAATAATATTATATGTATAAATATATATATTTTATCTAGAGTTCCAGATCTACTTGTATAATTTATTAATACCAGTTTTCAAAGACATTTGGAGATAAAAATCATAAATCATCAAAGTGTCGAGATAAGTGCTTAAAATTAATCAATCAACTGAGAATTTGCTCATGCTATGCATGGTATATCGCATATGCAGTGAAGACGTCCTCCAACATCGATTCGCTTGCACTCAATCCAAATTTCTGTTGCGCAGAAAATCAAGTGACATCGTGGTAACGCGAGTGAATCACGGCGAGAAGGCAGAGCTCCCCGGGTGTCAGGTCGCATCTGGCATCCACAATCAACACTCCACGTAGCTTCGGTGACGTCACGTCCGGTCGTGTGTGCCGAATAAGCAGAAATCGCGTAACCGAACTCTATCCGTGGGGAACCGTTTCAAAAAAAGGAGAGAATACACCGGCACGAAGCACGTGTCAAATCAGGAGATACGTCGTGTTGGAACGCGAGCATATTTCAACGCCAAAAAAAAACAAAGGTACACAGTTGAGGTTGTTTTAACACAATCTTAATGTACTAAGAATGGCAAAGAATCTCAAAATTATCTAACACAAAGAAAATAATCAACTTATAATTATAGCTCTTTTGAAATATTTTCTCAAACTATCTATAGTCCCTATTGTCCCTAATACTGTTGTTAAAAAATATGTAACATATGTAGAGCGTGTGTATGTAAAACACACACACACAATTATGACGTCACTTTCAGAATATAAAGTATGTGTCAAAAAATAAACAAACTTAATAACAAATCTCTGATTAATTTGAAATCAGTTTTTCTTAGCAAAAATATTTACAGAAAATACAATACCTAGTTAAAAGATCATTAATTAACGGAAGATGCAACGTTTCTCTAATACAAGAGTGTTATGTATGCGCAATCAGGAATTGTACACGATATCAAGAATAACTCAAGACTATTTTAATGCAAGAAGTTCAATCGATACAGTTGTTAGAGAAACGCACGCACTTGTTCTCTTGTCGTTGCTATGCTCTACTCGCATGTTTTAATATGAGCTATTATAACACCAGTATAACATAACAAAGAGAATATCATAATATATAAAAATATAATATAAAAATATAAAGAATACATACTATATACGGATATATCATAAGAAAATTTTGTCTACTAAAAAATTACAGTGTAAATTTTAAATTTTTTCCAAAATCCAATTTATGCCCTCATAATCTTAATAAAATGATAAAAAATTTTCTAACTAATTAGAATCAACTTTTTCTTAGTAAACACATAAAAAATTTAGTAAAATTTTCTAATTTTTAATTATATGCATAATAGGGAAACACGGAAATATCTCCATTCGATTTTGATGAGCTTGTAATATATACATATCATATATGTTGAAATCTAGACTAAAATAGAGGACTTGTATTTTTTTAGAAAACATCATCGTTTAGGGGTGAAACATTTCATTTTCTTAAAAGATATGTAGCCATACATATCTTTAGAGATAAAACTTCTCTTTGATCGAAAAAATTTCTTTACAATGTTTTCAAATTCTTAAAAAAATGTTATAATTTTTAACATCTCTCACTACTTTTTTTTCATAATCCAAAAAATGTTTTCGACTAAATGAAAGGATATTTTATGCCAAAATCAATTACATATTACAAAGTCATATTCCAAAATAGCAAATCGAAAAACAGATTTAAAAAATCTTTAGAAACGCGCTATCTTAATATCCATGCTATATAGCCACTAGCCGCCTACTCACACAACACGTCCACGCTACACGTTTCCTTTGTACTTTCTCATAATTAGAGAATATGACGATTATTACAGATATGTAAACATTATCACAACAACAATACATAATATTTCAACGTATGTAACAACGTAAATAACAACAATAGTAACAGTATTGATTACTTTATATATAATAATAATAAAAAATTTCTTAATTTTTTTGTTATAAAGGGTACCTATATATACGCTCTCTAGAAGTATAATAAAACTTTATTTATAAAAAGCGTATATAAAGCGTATGTAAAATACTATTTTATTTAATGAAAAATCTTTTTTTTAATTACAAATAAAAAAAGTAAATACCCGGGTAGAATTTTGTCGAGGCGTGCCCCAAGTCTGTAAAGGGCCTAAACAGGCATGCCCTAAAATAGGATCGCCAATATTGGGACTAGATAGGCATGTCGTACAATAGGCATACCATTGTCGGATCTAGAAAGGGACTAGAAAGGCAAATTCTGGATAGAATAACCTAAATAGCCCCAGAATAGGCACTGGCATGGATGCCATTATCAAGGTCTACAAACGTTGGGCCTAGAAAGGGACTAGAAAGGCAAATTCTGGATAGAATTTCCTTAATAGGCCCAGAATAGGCACTGACATGGATGCCACTATCAAGGTCTGCAAACGTTGGGTCTAGAAAGGAACTAGAAAGGCAAATTTTGGATAGAATTTCCTTAATAGGCCTAGAATAGGCATTGGCATGGATGCCACTATCAAGGTCTGCTAACGTTGGACCTAGAAAGGGACTAGAAAGGCAAATTCTGGATAGAATTTCCTTAATAGGCCCAGAATAGGCACTGACATGGATGCCACTATCAAGGTCTGCAAACGTTGGGCCTAGAAAGGGACTAAAAAGGCAAATTCTGGATAGAATTTCCTTAATGGGCCTAGAATAGGCACTGGCACGGATGCCACAATCAAGGTCTGCTAACGTTGGGCCTAGATTGGTATGCCCTAAAATAGGTCTACCATTGTTGGGCCTAGAAAGGGCCTAAAAAGGAATTTTCTAAACAGGCACTAACATGAAAGCCTACGATTGTTGCCGTGAAATTATAGGTTTTACAATTTTTTTACATAAAATTTATTTCTTTTATTATCATAAAATAATTCATTGATTTAATTATTATGTTTCTTAAGATGATTTTTAAAAAATTATATATTTGCGCTGGTTACGACATATGTAGACTATATATAACACTTACATCAAATTAAGAAGTAGAGTCTACCACGTAAGGCAGTTGGCTCACGATCCAGAGGTCCCGAGTTTGAATCCCACCAAGGTAAAGTGTTGTTTTTCAAATACGAGAAAATATTTATAATTATAGACTGCATCTTAAGAAACAAATTTAGTTATAAAATAGTAATAAAATTTAAAAAAAAAATAATTTTTTAAATGTAAATATTGTATAAGGATTACTGGGAAGTTGGACATGTCTGGATAGGGCCTAGTTAGGCGTGCTAGAATAGAGCCTAGTCAGATATACAAATCAGGCTCTGACTTACACAAGCGTTACATCTCTGTGCAGGTCCTAACCAGGCTTCCTTGATAGGGCCTAGACATAAATGGGGAAAAACTGTCTACAGCCTTTACAGGCCCCCTTTTAAAGTTCTACCCGGGTAATGGCTGGGTTAATATTTTTTATAGTTTTAACTGTTATATTCACTCTGAAAGAAAAAACCCGATTTTTCTCAAAAGAGTTTTACCTCCTACAAGTATATATGATCACGTATAAAAAAAATATCTATTTTTATCTAAATCTCTACATATCACAAGCTCATCAAAATCGGAAGGAAAAACACTTCGGTATATTTTAAGTGTATTTTAAAACTTTAAAATTTCAAGTTAAAACTTTATAAAAGTAACGCTCATCTAAAACTATAAAAGTTGTAGTTCTGTTATAAATATCTACATTTGTTGCTTTAATTTTATGTTAGTTCACAAAAAGCAAAACTCAATCACTTATACTTATAATTTGGGAATCAAGTCATCAGTGTCTTAACAAGCCTGGGAAAGAAAAATGTCCTCGAAAATGTCAAAGAAAAATTGATTTCAAATTAGTCATAAGTCGTAGAATCTGAATATAAAAATTAAATGTTTTATTTTGTAAGTATTGCTTTTGAAGAAACAAATTTGTCAAAACTAAAGGAAAAAATTGTCTTAAAAAGTATTTTTCAGAATTTCAGAATATTCTGTAAAAATATTTAATCGCTCTTTATTAAATTAGAACTTAATAGTATTTTTGTGTAAATTCATATACTATTTTTCACTTAAACTACGCACTGATTAATTATTTATCAGTCTTAAAACATACTTTTTAGAACAAACCTTTTTGTTAGAATAGTAAATCCAACATATTTAAATTAATAATCAACTTAACTTTTTGATGTTACTAAACACCTTTTGATGTTACTAACAATAAGTTACTTTTAATAAGGATGCTTACAATTAGTAGCGCAGTTTGAGTGAAAAAAAGTTTATAAATTTACACAAAAAAATACTATTAAGCTCTATTTTAGTAAAGAGCAATTAAATAATCTTACAGAATATTCTGGAATTCTGAAAGTGTGCAGACAAGTAATTATTCACAATTATTATTATTATATTATTATATTAATAGTATTATTAAATACATATACATTATTGCATTATTATTATTATTATTATTATTATTATTATTATTATTATTATTAT